ATTTTTTACCTTAGACTTAGTTTTTGACATGGGCCTAGTCCACTACAAGTGTGAATGTAAACAGACCAAGCCCCGCTCCTCAGGGTAAACAAACACGCATTTCTCTGACCTTATATGGAGCCGTCAGCTGACTTGTGTGGAAAAACAATATTCTCCATGGTCTTCTGTCTCATCTTCTGCTCATGCTAAGTCCATTTTTTAAAAATGACAAAATATAACTCCTAAAACTGCTAAAACTTGATGCCACTTCATTTTTATTTTTATTTACAGAAGAAGAAGACGTGTCTTCAGAGGTTTTTGTGTCGTTTCTTTCAGTAGTTCTTGGTGCAGCGCCCCCACAGGCGAGCGGGGGAATAGGTTGGTTCAACAGGTTGACTCGACTGCACAGTGCAGTGTGAATGCAAACGCACCAGCTCAAATGTAAACAAAAGCTCATGAATATTGGTCCCGAACCGAACCCAGTCTACCGGACTATCAGGTGTGAAAACGACCTTAAATTAAAAATTAACATGAAACAGAAGCCTTTTATAACTGTGGGTTATTTTTATGGACTGGCTAATGTCTGATATTTAACTTTATCGCTAATATTGGCCGATATCGATACCATGCCGATAATATAGTGCATCCCTATTTTAGTGTTTGCAAAACTTTTCAACCTATTTAAAATAATAAGTTAGTCTACTGTGTTACACAGTAAATTTTGAAATTAACTTCAGGGGTCTCCACAGTGAGTCATCCTCCTCCATCTCACTCTGTCCTCTGCATCCTCTGTCCTCACTCCAACTACCTCCATGTCCTCTCTAAATGCATCCATATATCTCCTCTTTGTCTTTTTCCTGGCAGCTGCATTTCTAACATCCTTCTACAATATACCCACTGTCCCTCCTCTGAACATGTCCAAACCATCTCAGTCTGGTCTCTCTAACTTTATCTCCCAGTTTTTCAACCTGTGCTGTACATCTGATGATCTCATTCCTAATCTTATCCATTCTTGTCACTCCTAAGAAGAACCTCAACATCTTCTTTTCTGCCACTTCCAGTTTTTTCTCCTGTATTTTGTCAATGCCACTGTCTCCAGATCATACAAATATTTTTTCTGAAATAATATAATAATAATAATAATAATATTTGATGCACTTTCCAGATACTGTGATATGAAAAAAAAGTTCTTGTCTCTGCAGTCAATAACTAGAGTATTTTATTGTTGTCCCAACAATGCAAACAGTTTTTTTACTGTCATATATGGATGAATGGATGAATAAATCTAAGGGTACCCATACAGTTTATTTGAAGATTAGAAAGTAAATGGAGTAAATGTTTAAAATAGTTTCCAATTGGTCAGAATATTTTTACCACTTTATTGCATTTCAACCTTAAAAATGTCAAGACTGAAACTTAATTAGCAGCACGATGATACAACTGGTAGAGCTGCTGCCTCTCAGCGAGCAGGTCCCTGGTTCAAATCCTGGTCATGGGGCCTTTCTGGGTGGAGTTTGCATGTTTCTCCGTGCATGCGTGGCTTTTCTCCGGGTACTCCGGTTTCCTCCCACAGACCAAAAACATGCATGTTAGGCTGATTGGTAACTCTAAATTGTCCATACGTGTGAGAGAGTGAATGGTTGTTTGTCTCGTTTGTCTCTATGTGTCCCTGTGATGGACCGGAGACCTGTCCAGGGTGTACCCCGCCACTCACACAGTGATTGCTGGACATGGGCACCGGCGACCCCCGTGACCCAAAATGGGAGAAGCGGGTAAAAGATAATAGATGGATGGAAATTAATTAGGTGTATGGGAATACATTTAAAGATCAAAAGGATGATGAATAAATCTGTTACAAAACACTAACATTAAGGTGTGTCTGTTTTAATAAAGAGGTAAAAACATCTGTTGCCATTTGAAAAAATAACTACAAGCAGATAAGAATCACTTTATCAGTTCTGGATGTGAGCTCAAGCCTGATTCACACACCTCTGTGACAGAGTGGAACACAGTCTTCGTGATCTTTCCCTCCACATTTCTCCATCTGCCATGTTTTTATAAGTCCCTCCTTATAGGGAAAACTTTCCACCGTATCCATTTTTAGGTGGTTTATTGCCTTTGGCACTGCAGCAGCAGCAGGGCGTGCCAACCTGTGTCCATAGCTTGGAAAGAAAAGAAAAATGAATATTCCTACCTCCATCAGGGAGGTTCTGGGAGCTATAGCTGATGCTTACACCTGTAATGTGATGGAAAGCTTCTCCAGTCACTACATCAGAAGGAACTGGTTTTAGGGGCTGACAACCCATCACTGTG